GCACTAGGTCCCATCATTTAAAATGTCTGGTTTCAACCCAGCAGTGAGTGGGTGGGTGCCTGTGGTAGCAACAAAGGCTACCACAGACTCTACAAGACTCTACAAAAGACTCTACAAGAGTCCCTGAATCTGGGGTCTTCGTATTTCTCTCCACTTCTGAGATCTTTTGCAAAACAACCCCAATTGCAAGACAGTATTAAAATTTAATGATCCACTTTGGGGCCACTATTCCTGGCCCCCCAAGTTATATTGGGACCAGTGCTAAAAATAATAATAGTAATTTCCTTTTCTTCACACCATCCAATTTAAATTGATCCCTTCCTAGAAGGGAGTCCTTTATCACATCTAAGGTGTTGTCCAGCTTGGGAAGTTGAACAAAATCTGGTGACTTATAAAAAAAGGTGAAAGCTGACTAGTAGATGTAATCCATGGGACTTCAGGTCTATAGGAATAATGGACCTCTTCTCGTTCTATGTGGGCCTTTGGTAGAGGCAGGCCAGTATGATGAAGGAAGCCTGATTTCTTAGAAAAGGTGGCTCTCCAGTACAGAAAATGATTAGTCCTTGAAGTCCCTGAATCTGGATCAAGATCTGTATTTCTTCAACCACACACCAAAACCAAGTCTGGCTCACCAAGAATTTCCCTTCCCTCTTAAATGAGTAACAAGTTACCAGATGTTTCACCAGACAAACAAAAAGGGAAAAGAAAGGATGGTCAGGGACAAGACAAGACTGATGGTAGGAAGCTCACACCCACTTTCACAAAGACAACAGTGAGATTTCTCAGGGTGATACCCCTGATCGGAGAGACAACAGACTAAAGAACACAGATCTGAACCCCAAATACAGAGAGTCTGGATATAATTCCAGGTTTTAAAGAAACCCAGGAAAAAGACCAGCCAGAAGGAAAGCTGGGGAGGGGCTAAGAGCGACGGGGACGGGGACAGTCAATGTGGGCTCAACCCACCAGTGACCAACGCCAGGGAGGTGAAAGTCAGGGGACCCGGGACACTCAGGCTGGGCTCAGCCCACCAAAGGGTCCCCCAGTGACCCGCAGGAGACCAACACTGGGGCGGGGAGAGTCAGAGGGCGGAGGGACACTCAGGTCGGGCTCAACCTGGGACCAACACCGGGGAGGGGAGAGTCAGGGGACACTCAGACCAGGGTCAACCCACCAGAGGGTCCTCCACTGACCTGCAGGGTACCAACATCAGGGAGGGGAGAGTCAGGGGGCGGGGGACACTCGACCCAGGAACGCGAGGCCAAAAAACCTTCCTCCGCCGGAAAATTCAAACCCAAGCGACCGAGGTGCAAAAACAGGCTAAGCAGTTCGCGAGGCCTGACTGAGGGGGCAGAGTCGCTGAGGCAGGAGGCACAACTTACCGCCGCCGAGACGCCGAACTAGAGCCCCAGGCGGCTCTGGGTCCTCGGGGACTCACCGGGGCTCTCTCTCGGGATCCCTGCGTGGTCGCCAGAATACGTTCCCGACCGCAGGGCTCTTTGGCTTTTAGCGCAAACAGAAACTGACAAGAAGTCGAGAAAAATGCGGCAGCGTTTACTGGGGGTTGAGACTGGGAGCAGATGTGCCCGCGGGCTTCCCGAACAGCCGGCGCTCTGCAAGGAAGCTGAGGCGGGGATAAAGGGAACCCGGCTGCCGGGGCGCCGAGCTGGGAAGCTGCGCCAGCGCAGTGGGCGGCACAGGCCCCGCCCCGCGTGTCTCATTAGCATGTCAGGTCTCCACCCCTCGGCCGCGAGCGTTCGGATTCCACAGAGGGAGGAGCCGGTGATGGGTCAGCGCCGGGGTCCACCGCAGCACAGGCTGGTTTAGGCCGGTTTCTCCTGCAGAGTTCTTTGTGGCAAACATCGTGCTTCCGGGTTCCTTTGAGATACACTGCTCAAAAAAAAAAAAAAAAAAAAATTGCTCAACCTTTTCTTCTTAGGTGACACGCTGGGAGCCTTGGGCTTTGTGGTTAGTGCGGGGAGGGATGGGGTCGGAATGCAGCCCCTATTCTATCTCGGGACCACTTTTAATGGCAAAGTTAGGAAGGGTCTCCTTAAGTGATGGACTTCCTTGAGAACTAGGAAAGAATCAGAACGTTTTGGGGGCCACCTGCCCGGGGCGCCCGCATGACTCACCTCCTAACTCCATTCATCCCCCGTCTCATTTCCCATCTTAAGTTAGTTTGGAGAAATTTAAATGCTTATCCCAAGTGATTTTATTAATTTTAGAAGCGATTTCCCACAGTATACCCCCCAAGCCCCCCCACCCCTCCCTCCACCAACACACACTCGACTCTCAGAGTCAGAACCTTTCTGAGGCGGTCAGGGTTGAGTTCGGCATAGGTGAACTCGTTTAACGGATACACAAACCTGCTCAAAGCTTTACTGTACAGAATGCCAGAACACCGCAAGGCTGCAAGTTGCTCAAAATCAGCACAGGAGTTATTAGTGACAAAGGGAAGCTGAAAGGACTGCATTTAGGAAGGCTCCATCTCTGCCAGGCCCCACGTACTCATGTTCAGTATCTCACCTTGCATCTGAGTGAGCCAAAGAAGCTCTGTTCCCACTCCAAGGGGGAGGCAAGGAAGTGCATCATTCTGAGTTTCCTCCTAGGCCCCTGTACACCTGATAACATCTGAGAAGAATGTTTCAGGACATTAGCTTCCAAACAAACCTCCGTTTTCACTGGTGTCAACATCCCCGACCTTTGGTGATTTATGGAATAACACCTGATGCTTTTGATTGGACCCTACCCTAGATTCCTTAAGGAACATGCACCCAGGACCCCTTTCCAACATAAATCCCCATAGGAAGAAGACACTCCCTTCAGTCTCCCAGACACTCTGCCTGCTCTACTCTTGTCACACTATTCCGTAAATGCTGCTCTCACTTTTTTCCTAGCTCGCATTTGATTTCTGTCCTGCTCGAAGCCCAGGACCCTCTTGGCGGGTCTCTGGACCTGGCCTGCCGAATCATGAGCAGCCCTGGTTCTCCGAATGGACTTGCAGACCTGTGTTTTTGGTTAAACCTGTTCAAACAATATTGTAACAAGAGAACCAAAAATAAAAACACATCCACGTTGATAACCCAGTCTTCCATCTTACCGAGTCAGCTAGTTCAGTGCCCCGTACTCTCCAGAAGGTGGCCATGTGTCACTGCCTTAAGTTTTTAAATATTCTTTGTTTCAGCCTACTTTTTACAATTGGATTACTACCATTTAAACCATCACTTTAGATACCCGACTCCTGACTCGGTCCCAGGATTCTCTATCCTGGTTCTCAACCTATGATTTGCAGATTTTGGCCGGGGGTTAGGTGGCAGTCCCTGATATACTTTCAAGGAGTCTGCAAGGTTAATACTATTTACATAATAATAATAATGACATTATTTGTTTTTGCTCTCATTCTTTCACTAGTGTACAGTGGTCATCTAGAGATGACCCAGCTTGTGATACCCCAACATTCAGTGCAGACATGCATGTAAGGGTCCAGCCCATCTTCTAGTAAAAGCCAGATATTAGATTTGTACAAAACTTAAAGAATGCCACACTTCTCAATACAATTTATTTTGCCTTGGAAACAATTTTCATAAAACATGTTTTTTATATTAACTTATAATGGGTTTATTATTGCTATTTAATGTGTCCTAAATACATTTTAAAATGTCTCCGTTTCCATCTGCAATGCCATAAATACGGGCAGATAAAACCCAAATGAACAAAAGCTCTTTGGGGTCCTCAATAATCTTTATCTATTTATTTTTTAAGATTTTATTTATTTAGCAAGAGAGACAGCAAGGAGTAGGAGGAGGGGCACAGGGAGAAGTAGAGGGAATCTCAGGCAGATTCTGTTCTGAGCACAGAGCTGGATGAAAGGCTCAATTTCACAACCCTGAGATCAAGACCTGAGCCAAAACCAAGAGTAGGACACTCAACCGACTCAGCCACCAGGGCGCCCCCCTCAATAATTTCTAATGTCTAAAGACAGCCTGAGGTCAAAAAGTTGGAAAGTGCTGCTTTTCCCCTTGAACCTGAACCTGGGGATCTACCTGGTTCAGTACTCACCTGCTCAGTAGGGACCTTAAACCTCAGGCCATACTCAGAATGGAGTACTGACTCCCAGTTTACTGATGGGACACCTGAGCCAGGCCAAGATGTGTCTTCATCCTTCAGCTCAGTTCTAGGCCGGGAGAGCTTTGCTGTGTGGTCTGGAAAGCTCAGGGGAGGGCTGGAAATGGACCATCAGCTCCTGAGCCCCTCGGCTGTGAGGGTGAGGCTTGCAGCACTCGTACCCCTTGGTGGCTCTCACCTCCCCGGCTGCTTCCCCAGTCCCTGACCTCCAGTTGTGGCTTCCCTCCCCTCAGTTCTTCCATGGACAGGGAAGGAGGGCCCATTTCCTTCCGGGATGCTGTGCTCTGGTTGCAGAGACGGCCCAAGGCTTCTCTACTTGGCTCTGAGGCCAGGAAACTCTTCACGGTGGCTGCGGCGATGGGTCCCCATCCTGTGGAGAATCAAGCCGACCTCTGGCACCAGGAGCCCCTGTGCCCCCGTGAAGGCAGGGCAGATGAAGAGGGGGCTGTCATCAGACCCCAGCCTGAAGAAGGGCCTTAGGGGCCCAGAAAAGGGTGAACGGGGACATGTGTAGATGTGTGATCTGTCCCTCATGTTATAGAAGGAGATATCTCCGGCTTCATAGTCCAGAAAGATGCCCACCCGGCGAAGACGCTCTTTCAGGGGGAGAATCTTCTCGGGGGAAGAAAGGGCCCGGTACTGGTTTCCAAACATCTCCAGGGTCCAGAAGCCATTCTGGGGGACCAGTAGGGCCTCCCCTTTCCTCTCAACACTGCCTCTGCAAACCCCCACAGCCCACACCATCACGTTTTCAACCTCCACCTCCCAATAATGCCTCCCTGAGGAGAAGCTCTCCAGGCCCAGCACGCAAGGCCGGCAGTCGAATCTCTCCGGGTTGTTGGGGACACTCTGCCTGGAGGGGCCTCGTCTCACGCTTCTCCGGTCCTCTGTCAGGAAGAGCTCAGGATGAGCGGTGTCCGGATCCAGGACCACATCGGCTGCAGAAGAAGTCTCTGGTTTAGGCCTGGGGTCTTGGGGGATGGTGTTATTCCTGGACCCCAGGGAGGTCCCAGAAAGGTGGTGGGAGACCCCTGTGTGGCGGCCTTTTCCACGAAGGCCCCTTGATCACAACTCCCAGGCAGCTGGCTCACAGAACCCCTGAGACTGCACTTCCACCCTGTCTGAAAGGAGTCTGGCCTCAGGTAGGGGATCATCTGGGCTCTAAAAACGTGGGAAGTTTAGCAAAGGAACCGAAATTCATGGCTCCCGCTTTCTCTCAACATTCTCCACTCTGCTCCCTTTTCTATTCAAGACATATGGTCTCTGGGACTCTCTTTAGTCAGGAACGTTCCAATTTGGCTTAAACCAACCAAGAGGCCCACCCCACCCCCTCTCCCAGTGAAGCAATTAATGCCAATTTCCCCTGCAGACTCCTGGGTAGTCAAAGTTCCTTTCACTGGTTCTCTGGATTCCACCAGTTTCACCAGCTGACTACTGACTGAGATGACTCCCAAGGGCATCCCCTTCCCAAGGGAAAAAGGGAAGGTCACATCTCTACCTGCTTCTGCAAGGGTCTGACCTCTCTGGATGTAGGAAAGGCTTCCAAGCCCTGCCATTCTGCAGATCGCCCACGTACTACCACCTCCCTGCTACTCAGCTGGTCTACACTGCTGTCGTGTGAACGTGATTTTCTCCTCTCCCCACGTTGTTGAGATGTCTGACTGGGAGCTTTGAAATTCACCTAAAGAGGAAAGGTTGGAGTACCACGGTAACTGGCAAAGCCTGGATTCCTGGGTGCTTTTGAGCAGAAGGGGACAACTCGTAAGATGCAAAGTGCTCGTTAGGATGAAGCTCTGGTAATAGATGAAATTATGCTAAGATCGCCTGGGTTCCCTGATGGCAGAGCTGGGACCCAGTGCTGCAGGGGTGTGGCTAGCGATCGCATCCCAGCCCCTCCACCGCCCAGCACCCCCTGTCCACTTGCTCTAATAGGTCCTGCTGGCTGGGGAGAGACCTCAGGGCCAGCGGGGAGAGGCCTGAGGGCATGTCCAGGGCGCTCACCGGCATGTAGCAAGGTTCTTCTCCATCCTGCAATGGGACAGACAGACAGACGAGCTTCAGGAGCTGCTGGCTAACAGAGCAGAGCGCAAACCTGCACGGACTAGTTCAGGAAATGGTACACTTACGTAGTTCTTCAAGTTGCTCTGACAAAGAAAGAGAAACCACTTCATGTCTTCAATAGAAGAAATCAGAGAATCTGAATTTGTGTTAAACGAGGGAGGGTGGGCCCTTCGTGAACACCCCCCCGCCCCACTGCTTCTGGAGATTCCAGAAACAATCCATGCACTGGTGGCTCGATGTTATGGGAACTTATTAGGTTTGTGTCTGTTTGGCAGCGTGGTGCTGAGTCCGCAGAATGGGAGCAAGCAGGCAGAAGTTGGGGGGTGGGTCCCCGGATGCCACGGGTCCGAGCCCCTTGCTGCAGTCTCTGGTCATTTCCTCCCTGTCCCCAGGCTTCTAGCTGACAGAACCGTGGCCCTGTGGGACAGCGACCTATCCTCCTATTCTTTTACCTCTTATTTGACGTTCTTTCTCTTTTTCCATCTGGTCTGTCTCCAGTTCCTTACATGCAATTTCTTTCTCTTCTTTTTCAACCTCTTTTCCCCTGTGGAGTTTCCTGATGAGACAGATGCTCCCGGTGATGAAGAGAAGTAGAGAAGGCAGGAGGACAGCGAGGCCCACCGTCCAGGGAAACATGCTGGGAGCAAAGGATTCTGAAAAGGGAACCAGAAGAGTCCCATTCAGTGAGAGAAAGGAGACCCCCGATGACAGAGCCCCTCACGATGCCCATGGGAAGTGCTCCCTGGGGTCCCCGCTCCGTTGGCTCCTCTCTCCAAAACCCAGGACAGAGACCCTGACTCTGCACTGACTCATCCCATAGCAGTTGCCAGGGCTGGGGGCCCAGGAGCCAAAAAAGCAGGGATCCCTGGAGTCACCATGGGAAGGACCAGGGTGAACACAGCCACCACGCTGCACGAACCACCACTCCTTTTTGCCTGAAAGCTTGCAATTCCCCAATGCCTGCCTCTGTCCATACCCTCTGCAGTCTGTCAGCCCAGCAGGCTGAGTGAGATTCTGCTACTTCTCTGCTCAAAACCCTGTGTCACACAGACTCACCCAACTCTTCCTGACTGACCACACACCACACCTGCCCCTTGGGGTTCCTTAAAGCTGCCAGACATGCTCCTGCCTCAGGCCCTTTGCATGTGCTGTTCCTGCTCCCTGGTTACAGAGAAGCAAGCAACTCAAGTATCTGCACAGCTCCTTCCTTACTTGCCCAACTGCCATCTTTTCAAGTGAAGACTTCCTTGACCATCCTCTTTATAATTACAACTCCCCTATACCCTAGCACTCCCCGTCCTCTCCCCCAGTTTTTTTCTACAGTACTTATCTCCATCTGATATAATCTACAGTTAAATTATTTCAGCTATAGCTCTCTGCCACCCTGGAATGTTAGCCCCATGATGGTAGGGATCTTTATGTATTCTGTTCACTGATTCATTTTTGGTCTTGAGAACAGTGCCTTGAACACAGGTGATACTTTGTTAAGTATTTGTTGGATGAATTCGTGCATGTCTGTAGATAGAAAACACCCCCTCCCTGAGTGTAGGGCTCCCTTGCCTGTACCACTCTCCGTTTATGATTGTTCTAAATGCTTAAAAATGGCTGCAGGGGGCACCTGGCTTGCTCAGTCAGGAGAGTGTGGGACTCTTGATCTCAGGGTATTATGAGTTCGAGCCCATGCTGGGTGCAGAGATTACTTAAATAAATAAATTAAAAAAAAAAAATGCTGCAGGAGAAGGACCAGGACAGAGAAACAACTCTCAGAGAAGACTTTGATTTTCTCCTTGAGAAAAGACAGGAGGAGAGGCCTTGGGGTTCAGGGCCCCTTGCTTCTATCTCCCCATCCCTATTCCAGGCTCCGGTCTGTCTGAAGACCCTACCTCGGCGTGATGAGCCTCCAGAGGGCAGGGAACCAACCTGGGATGAAAATGATGGTTTCCTTCTCCTGGCCAAGCAGGGTGTTGATCACAGAGCAGGACGCGTTCCTCACCGAGCAGTCCCTGATGACCACGGCCGTGGTGACTATGAAGAGGCCTTCTGTGTCCACCGTGTAAGCCTCCTCCAGCACCGGCATGATCGCGCCGTGAGGGTGCCTCCATACCACATGGGGCTCCGGGTACCACCCTCCGGACGTGCACTCCAGCCGCACGCCTCCATCCTCCTGGCCCTTCATTTCAATGAGCGGCTTAGAGCCCAGGCCTGGGGACAGAGACCAGGAAGCAGCTAACAAGGTGTCTCAGCCTAAGTGTCTTGGATCAGCTCTCGGAGGGCAGGCTGACAATGCACTTGGCTTCGTGTGCCACCCGTGACCCCATCACAGAGTCACACCCGTCTGTCTCCCACCAAGTGACTGCCGATTGATTCATTCAGTTAGAGGGTCTGCTTGTCTCACTTGTGTGTGTGTCTCTGCTCAACCTGAAACAAGCAGGTTGAGGATTTCACCCTCCGTCCTGGGAGGACTTCACAGTGCCTGTCTCCCAAGCTCGGGAATAATCTGATAAGGACAGAAGCCTGCCAGGCCAGCAGAATCTTGGGAAACTTTTTGACCTCAAGACACAGTCCCTTCTGTCCCAGCTTAAGGCTGCATGTGAACCACAGGTCATCAGGAGTAGTTGGTTTTTGAGAGAACCAGAATGCAGAACCAACCCCTACCCCAGTTCAGAGACATGTACCTCCCAGGGGCTCAATTAGCCAGGGGATGTCCTTGTATCTCTCCACAACATCTACCAATTAGGAAGATCTGGGTGCTCCCGGGATCCTCAGGATCACAATATCACCCCCTCAATGTCAGCAGAACGTCACAGAAAATCCCGAGTCAAGGTTCTTCCCAACTTATTCTTGTCTTTAAAAGGCGCGCTTGGGTGGCTCAATTGTTAAGGGTCTGCCTTCAGCTCAGGTCATGATCCCAGGGTCCCGGGATCGAGAAACCTGATTCTCCCTCTTCCACTCCTCTGGCTGTGTCCTCTACCTAGCTGTGTCCCTCTGTCAAATAAATACATAAATAAAATCTTAAAAAGAAAAAAGTCTCTAATAGAATGGATGAGTGGTTCAAGACCTAGGAGACTTCTGGAGCCAGGGATCTAGAGAGCATCCAAAGTTCTTAATGAAATTAAATTAGATTTTACCTTAGAGCAGCTCAGCGAAATAAAATTCCTGTTTATTGTTAGACAACACTGTCTCATCCAATCTTTTTTTTTTTTTTTTTGAAGATTTTATTTACGGGGGCGCCTGAGTGGTACAGCCGGTGAAACGTCCAACTCGTGGTTTTGGCTGAGATCATGATGTCAGGGTCCTGAGATCAAGACATGTGGGGCTCTGCAGTAAGCACGGGATCTGCTTGCCCCCTCCCTTTGCTCCTACCCCCACTCTCTCGAATAAATAAATTTAAAAATCTTTTTTAACACATTTTATTTATTTATTTGAGAGAGACAGAGCAAGCATAAGTGTGGGGGGAGAAGGGCAGAGGAAGAAGCAGACTTCCCAGTTGAGCAGGGACCTGGGGCGGGACTCCATCCCAGGCCACTGGGATCATGACCTGAGCCAAGGGCAGACCCACTGAGCCACAAAAGCCTCACATCCAAACTTCTTTTAAGTAATTCCTTTGTTAAGGCAATCCAAAAAATTAAAAGACAAAATGAAAACAAAAGACAAAATTAAAGCAATCATGTAAGTTTCAGTACTACCTGCTCCATCTGATTTTTGCCAAAAAGAAATAAACAAAAACAAAAAAAACAACTGTGCACTGAAAGGCTGGTGCAGACACTCTGAACTGTGATTAAGACTCAAAAGAATTCGGCAAGTTGGAAGGAAATTCTACAAACAAAATGGGGTTGCACGGGGTTTAGTCAAGGCGAGTTTGAGACAATAGACTTAAAAAGACAACATCAGCCAGCCAGTGAACCAACCAACCAACCAGCAAAAACAATAAGCAGTTCTACAACTCAGTTCAGACTGGGCGGGTCAGGCCAAGGTCATGTTTACAGGGAAAGAACAGAGGGTTCCTGCCACATACATACCCATTCCGGTGAGCCGTGCAGTGCTGCTACGAAGAGTCAGGACACCAGGGTTGAGAAACCCTCCTGCCACAATATTTCAATATTTTCTATTAATCTCATATGCCCTTCTAGGTGACAAAGATGGCGTCTCCTACTATCTACGAGTTGAGGCCCCTGTCCTCTAAGCCTTACTTCCATTGGGCAGACTGACTGAAATGCCATTGATTTATTTAGGTGTATTTTAAAGCTCGTCCAGCCTTCAAACATTTCTTTTAAAGTATAATACAATGGCCCCAAGAGTGAGGTCATACCTTAAAACCATTATTAATAAACTCCTAGAAATCCTGGTTTATATGCCACTTCTATTCCGAAGCCTTGCCCAACTCCTCTGGTCAAATTCTCTCGTTTTCCTGTGGGGCCAACAGGCTTGATACTTTATCATGCTTTAAAGAAATCATCTGGACATGTCAGTCATTCTCACTACACTGGCATTTGGGGAAAGGTCAGAAACGGCAAAATTACTATCAAGATGAAGGCTGTCCCTATGTTGTCCCCATGCAGTTACGGACAGTGGCTCTTCTCACTCTGACAGTCAAGAGTTCGATGAGAAAGTCTATGGTCCCCTCTCCAGACGCAGCTTCCGGGTGCTGTGCTGAGACTTCATGCGGGGTCCTCTGAGCTCCCAAGGGGTGCAATTCACTCTCACTTCGTTCTCGTTGTGCTCCCCTGCCATCCCGTTAGGAAAGCTACTCTCCCAACCCCCACCTTGCAGTCTCAGCCCCTCTCTGCTTTATTTTCTCTACAGTGCTCATCACCAGCTAGGATAGTTTAAATATCCTTTATTTTTTTCTTAAATATCGTATTGATTGGCTCTCTGCACTCTCTAGAACATGGGCACCATGAGGACAGGAACCTTGGTGTCTTTCCTTCAGTGTTTTGACCTGTTACTTGGAACAGTGACTTAAACATAGAAGTGGTCTGTTAAGTGTTTTCTGAATGACTTATCGAATGTCTGTGATGTGAGGGAGTGCAAAAAGCAATTTTCCCACTCTGAATTTTTTTTTTTTTGCCTTTTAGAAGGTCATGATCCCGGGGTCCTAGGATCCAGCCCTGCATCTGGCTCTCTGCTCAGCAGGGAGCCTGCTTCCCCCTCTCTCTCGGCCTACCTCTCTGCCTACTTGTGATCTCTGTCAAATAAATAAATAAAATCTTTAAAAAAAAATTGTCGGGGCACCTGGGTGGCTCAGTGGGTTAAAGCCTCTGCCTTCGGCTGGGGTCATGGTCCCGGGGTCCTGGGATGGAGCCCCACATCGGGCTCTCTGCTCATCGGGGAGCCTGCTTTCCCCCTCTCTCTCTGCCTGCCGCTCTGCCTACTTGTGATCTCTGTCAAATAAATAAATAAAATCTTAAAAAAAAAAAAATTGAAATTTCCCCAGGCAATGAGGTTGAGATCATAGTTCCCCTCTCCTGTACTGGGAGGACCACCACATGACTTGCTTTGGTCAATGCGATACGAGGCTTCTCCCTCTCCCTTTGCCAGCTGCTCTGCTTCCTTGTACTCTCTCTGTGTCAAATAAATTAAAAAAAAAAAAAAACAAAAAAAAAACACTTTAAAAGAAATTTAGAAAACAAATTTATAGTATCTATTAAAGAGGAAGAGCGGGGCACCTGAGTGGCTCAGTCAGTTAAGAGTCTGCCTTTAGCTGGAGTCATGATCCCAGGGTCCTGGGATGGAGCCTTCCACTGGGCTCCCTGCTTAGTGGGAAGCCTGCTTCTCTCCCTCTGCTGCTCCCCCTGCTTTTCTATCAAATAAATAAAATCTTAAAAAAAAAAAATTATCTGTAGGCGTCAAACACTCTCTCTGGCTCAAGGCTACAGTGGAGTGCTGTGTGCGCTTCTCAGGAACTGATGCCCACAGTGTAGCAGGGCAAATCCATTCATTTGGTCCTTGGGGAGGAGGAAGCCACCTTACCTGTTCTTGTTTTGTTTTTTAAGATTTTATTTATTTGACAGAGAGAGAGCAAGCATAAGCAGGGAGAACAGCAGGCAGAGGGAGAAAGAGAAGCAGGCTCCCAGCTGAGCAAGGAGCCAGGACTCTGGAATCATGACCTAAGCCAAAGGCAGATGCTTAACCCACTGAGCCACCCAGGCTTCCCACCACCTTCCCTGTTTAAAACCTGCTGGGCTGCAATAGGGCCTGAAGTTAGGAGAGAAACCACCCCTAAGGGTCACCCTGAAAAAGCAACCAGCAAAATGAAATGACGCACCTGCCACCATCAGGCGCAGGATGGCCTCGTCGTAGGATCTGCCTTCTTGGAAGTAACAGTGGTAGATGCCATTGTCGTGGGCTGTGATGTTGTGTATGACAAGCACCACACTCCCCGTGTTGATGTGGTCGCTCACCAAGGTGGTTCTTCCCCGGTACTCCTCCATCTGCTCCTCGGTCCTCTCCTGTCCACCCTTATAAACGAGCACTGCCGGGGAGAACTGGGCGCGGAACCAGCGCACCTCCATGTGCTCTGCGTCCTTCTCGGGGGACAGGTGGCAATGGAACATGGTGTCTTCTCCCACCATGGCCAGGACAGGATCAGCTGGCCCCACGACAGTAAACGGGGCTGTTCAACAAAGGAGCAGAATCAGAGGACACAGTTATCAAAGATCTAAGGCAAGAAAGGAAGCAGATATTCCAGGGGACAAAAGTAATCTTCCTAAGGCCACACCAGAGGATTCTGGGGGCAGGCCGCTGAGGTTGGCTGGCAGCCACAGATGCCTGGTGGGGGTACCCAGTGAGGCTTATATTTATTGGAGCACATATATGCTTCACATATGGAAAGCCGTGGACCTGGGATCGGGTCCACTGTGACCACAGAGTCCATAGAGCACCTCCTGCAGACCCTGTGCTTTGATTTTCCCTAACACTCAAGCTGTCCGTTACGGCAGCCACAGGCCAGCGCCTGCTGGAATGTGCTGTTAAGTGTGAAATACACACAATTTGGAAATGTTAGAGTAAAAAAGGTCAAATAGCTCACTGCTCATATTTTACATTAATTAAAAGTTTAAATAACAATATTCTGGTTATTTAGGGTTAAACAAAATGCATTATCAAAATCTATTTCATCTGTTTCTTTCTGCTGTTCTAAAGGCAGCTACTGGAAAACCCAAAATTGTACGTGCAGCCCGCCTTTGTGGCTCTCCCTGGGTTGCTGACAGTGCTGGTCGACATCCGGGGAGCGGGTGCAGAATGCGAGCTGCCAGACCCCAACCGCAGGCCTTCTTCGCTCTTCCTCTCTGTAGACTGCAGTGCCCTCTCTCCCCTCTGAAGAACTGGCAGGAGCTCGAGGCAGGAGCCCCTACCTGAGAGCAGGCCCAAGCCGCTGAGGAACATGAAGGACAGAAGGAAGCGGGGTGTGGAGAAGCGCAAAGCAGCGGCAGCCTCCATCCGTGCCAAAGACTGGGCTCTCTGGAGAAGCATTGACGCAAGGCCTGGGGGTGCAGATGAGAAATTTGGCACCAGCTCTGATGGAAGTCAAACTTTCCTGTGACCCGCACTGGGATCCTCAGCACCCCAACTTCTGTGTTGGGCAGTGCGCTTCCTCTCCCTATAGACTGACTCCTTAAACATTCCACAGATAAGCCACAAGGCGAGGATCCAGGAGGCAGTTTTCTGCCCTCTCAAGCTCACTTCTCTAACCAGAGTTGAGTTTCTTCAGGTGTCACTTGATATCATCCCATACCCTTCCTCGTCCCCCCACCCCCAACCTCCCCTGGAATCCCGAAGAGCGCGGGGAGGTAACGGAAGACGATGAGGCCGCCCCACCCTCCCTTTCTCACCTTCTTGAATTCTCCACTGCATTTTATCTCCTCCGACTTTCAAATGAAGATTTTCCTATTGTCCTTCTTCTCTCTAATCTCATAATCACAATGTGGAAACAAAACTTGTCGGAGAAAGAAACCCTTTTCTTCGCCACCCCTTAGTCTGTGTGCTGACACCGGACCTGGGACTGGGTCCACTGTGACCACAGAGTCCCTAACTGTCATTGAATGGTCTAGAGCCCAGGGCTGGCCAGCTGTGTGTCAACCAGCCAATGGTATCCCTGAGCCTGCTTTCTCACCAGTCACTAGGCAGAATACACACTAAGTTTAAAATCACACAGCTGCGTGTAGCTTTTTGGGATTATCTGAATGTTTAAAAGTCTTTTTTCTAATTTTCAGAAGCAGGAAAACCCCCAGGAGCGGCCTCTTGTGTGTAGACTGATGAGCATGTAGTGGTTAGAGATAGGGAGGTGATGAGGGAAACAGAAGCGACTCCCTTCCAAGGACCAAGGAAGGTGTTCCAGTTGCTGGGGCTGCGCGGAAGCTAGTGGGGACGCTGGACAGAGAGGGAGGGAATGCAGGAGGGGTAGGGGAGCTGCAGTAGCCATTATACACGCCCTGTTATTCATTCAAAAACCACTGAGAGGTATTGAGGAGAGCCCCGTTCCAGTGGGGGCTGGAAGATGGCACCCAGCAAAGGCTTTTTCCGTTGGGCTTCATGGTCGGCCTGTGGATGGTCTGGTTGAGCCAACACCCCCACAGCCACACAGTGCTCCCCTCCTTGAACCCAATCCGGCTACTGTATAGCTTTCTTCTAGAACAATCTTCCAACGCACATTTCTTAGTATTTCCCCAAGTGCCCACATGCTTCCTCCAGAGGCTTCCAAATCCCTGATTCACTTCAGAACTGCAATGGCCTTGTATCCCAGGGCTCAAAGTCCTGACACCCATTCTCCCGCACCCCCTCACTCCCCCATCGCTCTCCATTTCAGCCTCTGGAGGCCCAGCCTAGCCTTCCTGTCCCCCCTCCTCCGAGAATAGCTCAGAGTGTGGAGGCAGGCGGCAGTGTTCTCAGAACTCCTCTGACTCCCGGTTCTGCCTGCTACTCCATCCTGTCTTGTTATTGCTGTGTATGTGGCATTGATGAAGGAAGAGAAGGCAAACTGGGGACAAAGCAGAAGCTGACACCCCGCAACCCCCCCCCTATGGGTATGTGTGACAGTCCTCAGGTACTCCTGGCTGCCCTAAAGGAAAAACAAATAGTTAACTTGTAGAGATCACAGTCCTCTGCAAGTCTCCCTCAGCTTACTTACAAACGCTTGAGCCAGAGCTTCCACAAGGAAATGTAAATACAATTAAGGTCTTTGTAACTTGCAGGCCAGAGGCCAAGTGTACTGTTCCCCCAAATTCCCAACTATCTAAATGCTAATGCCTCACTTGAGGGGTCAACAACCTTGACAATGGCAAGGCCTCTGGTATCCAGTGAGACTTCTTTAGCATATGAAAGTTCTTTCCTTACCTCCCTCTTTCCTGACTTCCTCCAACCCCCTCGTACACAATGAGCCTCATCTCACAACCCCGGGCAGCAGACCCTTCTGCCCACAGGCACTTTACTAAACCACCATTTTGCACCAGAGACAGTCTCAAGAATTTTCTTGGTCGTGGGCTCCGGACCTCACCCCACTGAACCTCACCAATATTCTACAACCCCATCAGCACGAGTGTACATCTTTGCAGGGACTGGAGTTCGTGTTCCCTGGGAGCAACACTTGCCCCGAGTCCTCTCTCCCTTACAGGGCTCCGCCCTTGCTCTGCACTCAGCTGTTGTTCAATGCCTGAGTGAGAAAGCTAAGGGGGAGGCCCCCCATGCAACGTTGTCCATCCAGACACCACCTACCTTTCCTTCTCAGGACCACACCATGGATGAGAATTGCCCTCCAGAACCTCCCACACGTTCCTGCTACACGTGTGACAGGTGGCGCAGCGCTGGGCCATTCAGTCGAAACCGGCAAGTCCTCCTGATGAAGGAGGCTGAGGGCAAAGCAAAAGCTGACCCCCCTGCAACCTTCCCCCACCCCCACTCCTGGGTGGGACACATGTGACATTCTTTAGGAATCCCCCAGCTATCTTAATGCTAATATTTTGGTAGAGGGGAAAAATGACCTTGACAATGGCAAAGGCTCAAGGCCTCCAGTATCTTGTAGGTCCTCTTCAGCATATGAAAGTTCTATCGAAATCTCCCTTTTCCTTACCTCCCTCTACCCTATCCTACGTAACCTGCCATCCCTCACCACCCCAGGGCAGCAGCTCTTTTGGCCCACGGGTCCTGTCCCTAGGCTTTAATAAACCACTATTTTGCACCAAAGATGTCTCAAGAATTCTTTCTTGGTCATTGGCTCCCGACCTCACCCCACCGACCCTCACCTATGTTCTAGAACTTCATCACTTCCTCTGGCCCGGACTGGGTAGGGTGTCGGGACGAGATCCCATCTCTGTGCATCGGCCATGGGCAGCAGGGCCACAGTACATGGACATGTACTGGAAGACAGAAGTAACAGCTGCTATGTGGATGGGGCTGGCGGGTGGGGGGGGGCGACAGATGTTACCAGGTGTTCCCTACACTCTCCAAGGCAGAGCCTTGTAAAGAACGCTGTTGATGTATAACCCCATGTCCCCTAGGTCCACGTCAGGCAGGCAGTTTCCTGTTAGGTAACAAGTTCCCAGGTGCCTGCTGCTGTTCTCCATCCGAGAGCTTTCTCTAACACAGAGGACGCTTGCTCCTGTGCGTCAATGCAGCCCAACCTGGAAGAGCAGGGCAGAGGCCACCCCTAGGGGCAACGCTCACCCAAAGGGGGGCGGGGACTGTGGGTAAGTGGCCCGGTCTCCCCACCCCTGCCAGGAGGGTTCTGAGCATATGGGGTTGGTCAGTTGGGCCCAGGTGACCAGACAGTGACCAACTAGCTAACATACCCTTTCTGCCACTTTTCACTTAGCTGACTTTTTCCCCCCTTTATTTCTGAACTTGGGTTTAGGGGCACCTGGGTGTCTCCATTGGTTAAGCATTTCCCTTTGGCTCTGGCCATGATCCCAGGGTCCTGGGATCAAGCCCTGCATCAGGCTCCTTGCTCAGTGGGAAGCCTGCTTTTCCCTCTCCCACTCCCCCTGCTTGTGTTCCCTCTCTCGCTATCTCTCTGTCAAATAAATAAATAAAATCTAAAAAAAAAAAAAAAAAAAAAAAAAAGAAAAAGAAAATGAACTTGGGTTTCCTGGGGTCACTTCCCAAGTAGACTGCGGGCACCCAAGTCCTTGACTCAAAAGTCAGCTTTTGAACAAAGAGATGGAATTAGGTAGACATTTTACCAAGCATTGAATCCAACAGTTGGAAGGATCTTTTCTGGAGAAGTGCCCTCTGACATATAGACCTGTTCTCTATAGAGAAACTTTCATGTGTCATTTCCTGTGAACAAAGAATTGATGTCCTTTGCTCCTTTTTCTCCTGGGTTGTTTTCTATTTTACGGAGATTAGCTCTTTCTCTAAGATACGAGTTGTCTGTATTTTTCCCCCCATTTTTACCATTTGTCTTTCTTAAGGGTCTAATATTGACCAATTCTCATCACCTAGCAGAGATTCTGGCCCAAACAGCTTTGTGGGGGAAAGAAGCTTGTCTGGAGCGAGGAGGCCTGGGATGACTGCTCTGTGCCCCACACTCACTGCAAGGACCTGAGTCAACTAAATCAACCGCAGATGAACCTACACCCTCCATTATGGAGCCTGGCTCAGCACACTGTCCCCGAGACTGTCCAGGGGCCCCTCCTCTTATGCAGACACGGGCTGTCTTTATCTGGCCCAGGAGGGAATTGGGATGACACAGGACCTGCCTGCCCCAGAGCCCTTTTCAGGCTCACAGCTGCTGTTCTGTACACTGACCTGCTCTATTTGCCCCCAAAGCTGCTGCCTTAGCTGGCGGGCTCTTTCCCTTGGCACTCCTCCACCAGGTTTGGGGCTGGGGACTAAAGCCAGTGGTCATGCGCTCCAGAAGGATCCTGCCATCTTCATAATGCTTAACTTCAATACAAAGTGCTATCAGAGGGGCTCTTGGGTGGCTCAGTGGGTTAAAGCCTCTGTCTTTGGCTCAGGTCATGATCCCAGGGTTCTGGGATTGGGCCCCTCATGGGGCTCTCTGCTCAGTGGGGAGTCTGCTTCCCTTCTTCTCACTCTGCCTGACTCTCTGCCTACTTGTCATCTCCGTCTGTCAAATAAATAAAATCTTCAAAAAACAAAACAAACAAAGTGCTATCAGAGCCTAGCACTGTGGAAGGAATAATGAGCCTGTGTTCTGGGGAGCCTCCTGTTTTGGGGAGACTCTCAACGGGCATCAGACAGCACACTCACCTTGGATAACACAAGAAGGGTCTCCCAAGGAGCTGTTTACAAAATGTGGGCAAGAGCTATACTGCAGGGCCAGGAATGGTGGAGCTGGCACCAGCCACCCCCCAGGTGAGGAGGAGGAGAAGAGGAGGCTCTTCTGAAGACCTAGAAGAACCGAGGCATGTAGAGAGGCTCTCTGAAGAGGTGCTGCGTGCGACCTCTGAAGGGGAACTACGTGTAGCCAGCCACAGGCGGCCCAGGAGGGAGAGAGCCTGGGGGCATAAGTACCCAGACTTCTCTCTCTCCTCTCTCCCTCTTCCAGCGTCTGCTGTGGCTCCCCATGGATCATGGTGAGCCAGAAGCCACAGGCAAGAGGGTGCCCGAGGAGGAAGAATGCGGCCCTCAGCCCCTGCCCATCAGCCCAGTCTCTGTCCTGTTGAACACAAGTGATTTCACCGGACAGCAACATCAGACCACAGCATTCTGTCACTACGATGGATGGAGATGACACAAGGTCACTCAACAGCTGTGTGTGAACGTGGAGGAAAACATGAACGCCGTCCCCGCCGCTGCAGGGACCAAACATCCCGCCAGGAGAGAGGCTTCGGCAGACTGCTGAACCTTCACCTGTTACAGCCTTTGCCTCCCTGCACACAGTCTTCCTCCTCCATCAGACCTATTAAGCAGCTGGATAAAGAACACCTCCCCCACCTCCCTGGGAGCTCCCAGTCCAGAGCAAAGCCCCGCTTCCATAAGCCCTCCCCCAAATTCCCTGACACAAGCCCAGGCTCTATGCCTCTCTGACACCCTCTTCTGGAGACACCCTGCAGCTCCCACCTGGCCCATGCTCCCCTTGCTGCAAGAGGTCATAAAGACCACCTGCTCGGCCATGGATGTGTGCCTGGGGGCCTTCGGTTGGAGAAACTCGGCTGCCTACAGGTCAGCCTCCTGGGGCCCACAGCAGTGTGCACACAGAGGGCCACAGAAGCTACTGGGAACACAAGTAAACCCTCAGACCCCATGGAGCAGAACGAGAAAGTTCTTTACCTGATACTACAGGGTCAGGAGGAATTCTTCCTGGAAGAAAACCTGTGTCTTTCTCAAAGGCATCACAGAAACAGCTGGAAGGTGGGGGAAGGAGTTCCTAGTGACGAGCCAGGAGACTTCCGAGGTGGATTTGGAGCCTGAACTCTGCATCTGCCCCCAGGTCCCACGGAGACATGAGCAGAAGCCCCGGAGGCCAGGGGCTGAGAGGGCAGCGTACACTCAGGGGACCAGCTCTGGGCCGCTACTTAGCACATAATCTAGCCTTCCATTCAGCCCCCTATTCTCTCTCTCTGATGTACTTCAATCCTCCTTTTTTGTTTTGTGCCTTTTAAAGTAAGTGGCAGACATCAGTGCGTTTCCCCCGGATACTTAGCTCACCCGTCAAGCGGAAGAATGCAGTTACGAAATTCTCCAGGCGCCAATACAGCACTCGAAATATGTATAGAAATACCTTTCCACTGTCCACTCTGAATGGTCAGTGGATTATTTTTATCTGGGGATCCGCAGCTCCTAAATGCCTGGCCATTCCTGACATTACTGGCAGTGGGGCCCAAGGCACCTGGCCACGCCCAATGAGAATCAAGACTGCCTCCAAAAGGGCTTCTGGAAGCAGGAGGGCTCCCTTCTGTCCGTTCCCAGCACCTGCTGGGAGAAGTGCTCCTGCAAGAAGAAACCAGATGTTCTGGAGGACCCGAGGGCCCCAGAGATCCCTCGAAGAATGACAGGCACAAAAACCATAAAACTGTGAAGGACTGAGGACAGGGATGGGGCTGAGTTCAGAGACACAGTAAAATGGCAGTGGGCATGGCATGACAGAGGAGTGAGGACAGCGAGTTAGCTCGGAATGTAAAAATTTGGCCTGTCCGGTCGGCAGGCTGGGATAATAGACACGTTTGCTAAAGCCAACTGCATAGCTAACAGGGAATACTGTCTCTCCCCATGTCATGCGGCCCCCACAAAGACGCAAATGAGCCCTTTCTCTGAGTGCTTCCTGCTTTCCTACTCGCTGGGAAATGTGATCTTTCAAATCCAGAGGCTACCAAAAGCTTCAAGCTCGAAATCCTATCAATGAGAATGAAACATTTCATTCTTGCCTGGAGGATCCATGTTAATTTGACTTGCAGCAGCAGCCTGATTTCCAAACTGGATGTTAAACTTCAGGCCAGGGCTGCGGAAGGCGCACTTCCCCCCCACCCGCCCAGATCCTGCCTGACAGACATGCCAAAGCCCTAGACTTGTTGATAAGGTCATGTGCCCAGGTACATGACAAGACGCACGTCACCAAATTCCTCTGATGTCATTTGCATCAGGACGGGTTCCTGAGCTGGGGAAAGTGAGGAAACTTTTGTAAACATTGCCTCCCTGAAGACCGGTTGCTATGTCTGTATATTCCAGAACACGGCAGGCATATATATTGCTTAGACTAGTGCTAGGTGCTGTAACAATGATATTCCAAAATGTCAGAGGCTTAATTCAACAGTAATCAATGTCTCACTCACTTAATTGTCATTTGCTTCTGGTTGGCAGGTAGGTTTTGCTGGTGTGACCCCTTATCTGGGAGTCCCCATCTCTCACAGCAGAGTCCTCCACATGGGGCCAGAAAGAAGAAAATGTGACCACTCCTAAAGGCTTTGGCCCAGAGGTGACACACCTCACTTCCACCCACATTCTATTGCAGAGAATCAGTCTGTGGACCAACCCCCCTCCAAGCTGCAAGGGATGCTGGGAAATGCGTCCCATTCTGGTTTCCCTCTCCATCCCCCACCACTGCTGGACAGCTAATCACCAGAGATAATGCTATACTCTGGAAGAAAAACATGAATTTGGTGGATGAGTTCCTCAGCCTAAGTGGGGAAAGCTGTTGTTACTCGGAGCACACCTGAGAGGCGAGCCCCACTCCAGAGAACAAATAAACCTTGGCAGTCTCTTCTGCTTTGTTTTTGTGTTTGTTTGTTTGTTTGTTGTGGGGCTGTCACCAGCCAAAAGAGAGGTACTCTCTAGAAATGTTGTTCTCAGCTCCGGCGATGGTAATTTCGAACTGACAAAGAGTCTGAAGGCTTGCACAGACAGGCTAATCCATGCATGGAATGGAGCAAATACCTTTAGCCCCTGTTTCTGTTTGTTTTAAAAATAGACCTTACCTGAGGCCAATTTGTGGAATTCGAGAAGTTTGACTTTAGAATATCCAGTCTCCTCTGGGTACTCAGTTTCAAATGCCCAGGCCCTGCTGACTTTTTAACCCTACCCCTTATCAGATGAGCTTCTGTAAGGTGAAGCCTCTTGTATTTCGCATTGGTGTACTTGAGCGGAACTGGAGTTAGTGCCTGAAAGACCGAGGTAGGTACCCAAAGCACTGGCTGAAGAAACAGAAGAAAAGAGATGAGAGAGTGAGGGAGATCGTCATTATCGACCTTAAAAACTTATTTGCTTTACTTTTTTCTTTCTTAAAGATTTTATTTATTTATTTGAGAGAGATAGTGAGAGAGAGCAGGAAGAGGTCAGAAGGAGAAGGTCAGAGGGAGAAGCAGACTGACTCCCCACGGAGCTGGGAGCCCAATGTGGGACTTGATCCTGGGACTCAATTCTAAGACTCCAGGAAGATGACCTGAGCCGAAGGCAGTCGCTTAACCAACTGAGCCACCCAGGCGCCCTGCTTTACTTTTTTTATCCTGCATTTGAAATCTGTGATTTCTAATTCCTCATTAAATAGACTTCATGAAATAGTGAGCATGTTGGAAAACGGGTTTTCCCTTCTCGTCCCTGGAATTATCCTTTATCCAGATTCAGCCCTGGAGTTAAGCAAGGGTCCTTTGTCCTCAGTCAGGTTCCTGCCCACCCCCTACCCCTGCCCCCTCATGCTCAGCAATGATTACGTGGCTCAAAGTCACAAAATATTAACCTCAGATATAGCCAAAATAATCCCCCAACTAATCAGTGGCAAAGATTTACCATTCTTATATTTAAAAAAAAATAATGGTAATAACACCTACTTTATACTGGGTGCATGTCTAGTAGACAGGTTTCTATTGTAACCATGCCTCAAAACAAACACCAAACATCTCAGGGGATGGTATCAAGCCCATCTAGAGCTCTGGCCCACTTCACCAATATTCCACTGGCCAAGCCCAAAGTTAAGGAGGTGTGGCATGAGGTGCGGGGGACTGGGTGGCTCAGTCGTGAAGCGTCTGCCTTTGGCTCAGATCATGATTTCAGGGTCCTGGGATAAAGCCCCAAGTGTGGTGGGCTCCCTGCCCAGAGGGAAGCCTGCTTCTCCCTCTCCCATTCCCCCTGCTTTGTGTTCCTTCTCTTGCTGTCTCTGTGTCAAATAAATAAATAAAATCTTAAAAAAAAAAAAAAAAGGAAATGTTGCACGGCAAAAACACATGGCTGACAACAGAAGAATTGGGGGGAATTGGTCCTATGCACGACAGCAGAAGAGCTCTGACCACAGAAGTAGCATGTGTTAAACACAAAACACACACACACACACACACACACACTCCCAACACCAAAGGAAACCCGGTTGAATTACTTTTCTCCTAGTGGCCTGCCATCTGCGCATATGCTCAACCCAAACTGGAAAGTCCCTGCTTCCATCCTCCCCGTTTCCACCAGCATCTAAGCCACCAGCCAGTCCTATCAGCTCGACTTCCAAATAAACCCTGATTTACATTCTGCAACTGCACGGTTCGCACCACGACACAAGCCCGCGCCACCATCTCTGGCACAGCCGGCAGCCGCTGTCTCCCTCCTCTGCACTTGGCCCTGCCCCGCGTACCTCACATCACGGAGAAGGAGGGTTATCATTGCAGGCTCCCCCCACGCCCTCCAGTGGTCCTTGGGTCAGGGTAGGTAGTTACTGAGGCTCTAACGGGATGCCCAGAGGCCAGCAAGGACGAGGCCACCGACCTATGTGGGGAAGGTCAGAAGCCTGGCGAGAAGCCAGACCTCACCAGACAGGCCCAAGATGGCGGCGCCACGACCGGAAACCCCTGAGCCTGCTTCCGGCTCCAAGTAATGACTATTCCTGCCCCCTCGTTAACAACTGTCAGTAAAAGATAGAAATCCACCCCCTCTCTCTCCCCCTCCCCTTCCATCTCACCAGAGTGTACTTTTCATTTTAGTAAACTTTCCACGGTGTCGCTTGTCCACTCTGCTGCGTGTCTGTCCTTGAATTCCTCCTCCTGACACGACCAAGAACCTTTGGTGTCTCCTTCAGCTCTGGCTGGGTCAAGGCCCCAGGGCCTGGGGTCTTCCCAGTTCAGCTGGCAACACTTGCAGCTTAAATAAGATCCAAGTTCCTTAACCATTCTCCAGAGGGTGCTTCCCAAAGATGTGTGTCTCCATGCCCCCTATGGGGATCTCATTAAAATATAGACTTGACTCCGTAAATCTGGAGTGGGGCTTGAGACTTGGCATTTTGAGTGAGCTTGGTGCTTTAGGCTCATGGACCCCAGTGGAACATCCTCTGTGACCTATCCCCACCTCCCATCCCCCCACTTACCCTTCAGCCACCTCCCTTCAAAGGCCTTCTGTCTATTCCTTTTCTGCTGAAAGCTTTCCAGCTCCAAGGACTCTGCTCCCCTGCCTGCACGCTCTCCTCTCAGAAGATGCCTTATTCCTCATCATTCCTGTCTCAGCTCAGCTCAGCCAGCACCTCCTCAAACAGGCTGCTCCTGACCACCCCATCTTGCTGGAGAGTTTCTCAACCTCAGCACTATTGATGTTTAGACCCGGACAGTGGGGAGTCATCCTGTATGCGGTCTGATGTTTAGTAGCCCCCCAGGACTCTACCCTCTAGGTGCCAGGAGCATCACCCCCCCCCATTTGTGTTAATCAATTATGCCTCCCTATGTGGCCAAATGTTCCCTGAGGGCGTGTAAATCATCTCCATCCTGGCTGAGAACCACTGCTCTATTTTACCTCTTTTCAATTTTCTTCAGGCATCTTGTTTGTTTCTTATCACTGTAGAGCATGAACTCTGTCTATGTCTCTGTAGGTCTCAGTCGACTCTTTCCCTGGTGCTTTGAACAGTCTCTGATACATTGTAGGGGTTTGCTAATTATTTGCGGAATGGATCAATGTATGTATCTGTTCCCAGATGAATTCCTTTTTTTTCCCTTCCCAAATGAATTCTTAAAGTTTTGTGCAATTTTATAATTCAACAGTGTACTAGGTAGATGTTCATGCCATTTTTTTCAGCCTATTTTAAAAATTTGTATTAAGGAAAATTCTGAAAATACACGGAAGTAGAGAAAATAGTAAAAAGAATCCTTTAGGGCACCTGGGTGGCTCAGTGGGTTAAGCCTCTGCCTTCCGCTCAGGTCATGATCTCAGGGTCCTGCGGTGGAGCTCCGCATCCGGCTCTCTGCTTGGCTGGGAGCCTGCGTCCCTCTCCCTCTCTCTGCCTGCCTCTCTGCCTTGTGATCTGTCTGTCACATAAACAAATAAAATCTTAAAAAAAAAAAAAAACCCTATAAATGTCATAAAAAATGGATTTAATAAAAGTGTAAGATCGAGTAAAACTCCAGCAGTCTGGACAGCCCCACCTCAACTTTTTCTCTTCATTTTTTCACGTATAAAGTCTGTTTTTTGTTTTCATCCACAGTATTTCAGGTTGAACACAAAAGTGCGTAGGAATCATGATCCAACCGGGTTTTTGTTAGGAGAAAAGGAAACAGTATCTATAACCCATTGTAAAATGTCAAGGAGAAAACCACAGGCCTCAAATGGGGACACTTACCAAACCAGGGCTTTAGACCTGACTGAATTGTACTTTTAATCTCCCCCAGAAATGCAGTCTTAACAGGTCAGTCAGAAACCTTCTGGTCCCCACCAAAATGAGGTGGTCTTCTCCCAGGGCCAGCTCCAATTCCTCCTCACAGTCCTGGGGCGAAGGCAACTTTGCCCGAAAAAGGAAAGTTTTTGTTTTGTTTTGCTAATAACGTCCTCGCCCCACCCTCCTTCCTAGAAAAGCCTCCCATTTTATAGTGCCCCTCAGAGCCCCAACTACTTGCTAGATTGGAAGCCTCCCCGTTGAGGGCTCGCCCAACAGAGCCTATTAGATCTTCAAATTTATTTAGTTGGATCTTTTATCTTTAACAGATGTGAAGTATCCTAACTGCCACCCAGACAGTTACGTCCCCCCCCCCCATAACTTGTTTCCCCCCTTCCCGGCTCCCTCCACCTCTCGTTGCCTCTGGGGCGGACCTCCAGCTGACTCTCTCCCCGCTCTCCCTTCCCTGCTCTCTCCACTTCTCCCACCGCCTCTCCCTCCGTTCTGGTCCCACTTGGTCATTTTTAGGCTTCTCCGCCCCCTAGTGGCCGCTGCGCTCGTCTGCACGCGCCCCGCGCCGCCGAGCAAGCCACCTGTGCCAGGAGATCAGAGAAGGGTCCTGGCACTGCACAAGCCAAGGGCTACGCACCGTGAGGATCCTAAGAACTGAAAGACGAGGGTTTTGCCGGCAAGAACGTTGTAATAGAATTAGAAGATCCCGTGAATCTGTTTGGATTCTGTGGGCCACAAACTCAGGAGTTAATGTAGGGGCTCCCTGTTTCCTCGGAATTGTATCTCACTCGGGGGATGAAGAGAAGAGTTCTGAGCTGTGCCCGCGAGGCCAAGAGTCGCTGGCTCTCGATTGCCATCTGGAGGAACTGGGACGCCCAGCTTCCTGAACGGTGGGAAAGAAACGTTGGTTGTTCAGCTCCCCAGTCTGTGCTGTCTTTGCTCTCGCTCCCTGAGTGGGATGAGACAGGTGTGTTTCCAACAGGAAAAGGAAACGGACTTTGATAAACCGACAAAAGCAGCCTCTGCCGCAATAATGTACCATTTATTCTGGATCACAGGAGGTCCATAACCAAGGGAAAGATGTGTAGCTAGTCTGAGAGTCTGCTTTCCTGAGCGGCTGCCAACACTGTGGGTAAACTCCCTAGTGTTTGTTCTCTGTAGGGAGCAGTACACCTGATGAGGTGGGGAGGGGGTGTGGTAACCCCTGGGAACATACAATGTGGAGGGCAAGCGGACCTCCCACACAGAGCCCTGAAGTGGCTGTGTCTTGGCTCTTAATTTAGTTTTGATAGGTAATAAATAAATGTATAAATAAAACATATAGTATGCTAGAGGCTGCTAAGTACTACAGAGAACAAGAAAGCAAGGAGGAGAGGTGTGCAGAGAGGGAGGCATAGAGCTTGGATCAGAGTGGACCGGGAAGCTGACAAAGACCTCAAAGGTGAGGGGACGTGCTCTGAAAAAAATCTGGTGAAAGAACAGCCCAGGCAGCAGGAACAGCAAGTTCAAAGGCCTTGA